AACCAGGGCCGGGGACAAACTGCAACTGAGGTACATGCTCTTAGCGGGAACCAAACCCGGGTCTGTCTGGACTGCAGGGCAACACTCTAACTGCTGAGGCAAACCGGCCAGGGCACCAGAGCTTTTTTTATCCACTCATCTATTGATGGACACTTGGGCTGTTTCCAGATCTTAGCAATTGTAAATAGTGCTGCTATGAATATAGGGGTACATGTATTCTTTCTAATTGGAGTTTCAGGCTTCTTTGGATATATTCCTAGAAGTGGGATCACTGGGTCAAATGGTAGTTCAATTTTTAATTTTTTGAGGAAACACTATATTGTTTTCCATAGTGGCTGCACTAGTCTGCATTCCCACCAGCAGTGTACTGGAGTCCCCTTTTCTCTACACCCTCGCCAACACTTGTTTGATGATTTGTTGATGGCAGCCATTCTGACAGGTGTGAGGTGATACCTCATAGTCATTTTAATTTGCATCTCTCTGATGATTAGTGATGTTGAACATTTTTTCATGTATCTCTTAGCCATTTGTATGTTCTGTTTGGAGAGGTATCTATTTAGGTCCTCTGCCCCCCACCCCCTTTTTAAAACCTATTTTTTAAAAAACATTTTTTCTTTTTATTGATTTTAGAGAGAGAGGAAGGGAGGAGAGAGAGAGAGACATCGATGAGAGAGAACATCAATTGGCCGCCTTCTGCATGCCCCCCACTGGGGATTTGGTCCACAACTTGGGCATGTGCCCTGACCAGGAATCAAACTGGTGACCCCTTGGTGCTTGGGTTGATGCTCAACTACTGAGCCACACCAGCCAGGCCTCTGCCCCCTTTTTTTTAAATTTCTCACCTGAGGAATTTTTCCATTTATCATCAGACAGAGTGGGAGGGAAGGAGAGAGAGAGAAACATCCATGTGATAGAGCCACCTTGACTGGTTGCCTCCCTCACGACCCGACCAGGGCCAGGGATGAACTGCAACTAAGGTATGTGCCCTTGACTGGAATCGAACCTGTGACTCATTGATCCACAGACTGATGCTCTAACCGCTGAGCCAAGCCAGCCAGGGCTCTGCCCATTTTAAAATTGAATTCTTTGTCTTCCTTTTGTTGAGTTGTATGAGTACTCTATATATTTTGGAAATTAACCCCTTATCTGATGTATCATTGGCAATTATGCTCTTCCATATAGTGGGTTCCCTTTCCACTTTGATGCTTGTTTCTTTTGTTGGCATATATTTGTTCATAGTATTTTGTTACAATCCTTTGTATTTCTGTGGTGTCTGTTGTTACTTCACCTCTTTCATTTCTGATTTTATTAATTTGGGTTTCTCTCTTTGTTTCTTGATGAGTCTGGCTAAAGGTTGATCAACTTTGTTTATCTTTTCAAAGAACCAGCTCTTGGTTTCATTGATCTTTTGTATTTTTTTTTTTTTTAATGGTATGTGGCCATAGTGGGAACCAAAACCGGGACTCTGGTCTGCAGGCCAACACTCAACTGCTGAGCCAAACTGGCCAGGGCTGTATTGTTGTTGTTGTTTTTTTAGGCTCTATGTCATTTATTTCTGCTCTGATTTTTATTGTTTCCTTCCTTCCACTAACTCTGGGTTTTTCTTTTTGTTCTCTTTCTAAAATTTTAAATTGTTGGGTTAGATAGTTTATTAGAAATTTGTCTTCTTTCTTGAGGTAGGCTTGTATTGCTATGAACTTCCCTCTCAAGCCTGCTTTGGCTGTGTCCCATAAATTTTGTATTGTTTGTGCTCAATTGGTAACCCATTTGTTGTTTAATAATATGCTATTTAGCCCCCATGTGTTTGAAAGTTTTTGAGTGTTTTTATTGTAATTGATTTCTAGTTTCATGCCGTTGTGATCTGAGAAGATGCTTGACATGATTTCAATCTTCTTGATTTGTAGAGACTTACTTTGTGTCCTAACATGTGGTCTATCTTTGAGAATGTCCCATGTGCACTTGAGAAGAATGTATATTCTGCAGTTTTTGGGTAAAATGTTCTGTAAATATCAATTAAGTCCAATTGACCTAGGACTTTGTTTCCTTGGTAATTTTTTGTCTAGAAGATCTATCCAGTGGTGTCAGTGGGGTGTTAAAGTCACCGACTATGAATGTATTGCTACTGATCTCTCCCTTGAAGTCCTCCAGAAGTTTTGTAATATATTTTAGTGCTCCTGTATTTGGTGCATATATGTTTACAAGGGTTATATCTTCTTGTTGGATTGATCCCTTTAATATTATGTAGTGATCTTCTTAGTCTCTTATTATGGCCCTTGTTTTGAAGTCTCTTATCAAATATAAGTATTGCTACACCAATTTTTTTTTTCATTTCCATTTGCCTGAAATTTTTTTTTCCATCCTGTCACTTTCATTTTGTGTGAGTCTTTTGCTCTGAGGTGAGTCTCTTGTAGACATGTTTTAAGACAAATTTTTTTTTTCTTTATTGATTTTTAGAGAGAGGAAGGGAGAAGGAGAGATAGAAACATCAATAAGAGAGCACATCGATTGGCTGCCTCCTGCATGCCCCCCACTGGGGATTGGGTCCACAACCTGGGCATGTGCTCTGACTGGGAATCGAACCAGTGACCTCTTGGTGCATGGGTTGACGCTTAGTAGCCACACTGGTTGGGCTGGGTCGTGTTTTCTTATCCAATCAGCTACTCCATGTATTTAAAAAAAGATTTTTTTTTTTTTTGGTATGTGCCCCTAGCGGGAACTGAACCTGGGACTCTCTGGTCTGCTGGCCAACGCTCCAATCACTGAGCCAAACTGGCCAGGGCTACCCCATGTATTTTGATTGCAGCATTTAAGCCACTTACATTCAAGGTTATTACTGATAGATACTTACTAGTAGCCATTTTTATTTTATGCCAGTGTTCCTCCCTCTCTATTTCTTCCTCTTCTTACAACAGATCCTTTAGCATTTCTTGCAGTGCTGGTTTGGTGGTGGTACATTCCTTTAGCTTTTTATTGTCTCTGAAGCTCTTTATTTCACCTTCAATTTTGAATGATAGCCTTGTTGGATAGAGTAGTCTTGGATTCAGACTCTTGCCTTTCATTACTTTGTGTATGTCATGCCACTCCTTTCTGGCCTGCAGTGTTTCTATTGAGAAATCAGTTGAAAGTCTAATGGGAGCTCCCTTGTAGGTAACTTTCTGTCTCTCTCCTGCTTCCTTTAAGATTCTTTCTTTGTCTTTAATATTTGCCATTTTAATAATGATGTGTCTAGTTGTGGGTCTTTTTGGGTTCATCTTGCTTGGGACTCTGTGTTTCCTGGACTTGTGTGACTTTTTCCTTCACCAAATTAGGTAAGTTTTCTGTCATTATTTCTTCAAATAGGTTCTCTATTCCTTTCTCCAATTCTTCTTCTGGTACCCCTATGATGCGAATGTTGTTTCGTTCTGATTATCCCAAAGCTCCCTTACATTCTCCTTCTGTTTTTAAAATATTTCCCCCATTTATTGCTCTATTTAGGTGTTTCTTTCTACCTTGTCTTTTAACTCATTGGTTTGGTCGTCAGCTTCTTCTAATCTAGTATTGAGACCTTCTAAGGTATTTTTCATATCAGCTATGTCATTCTTTATTGCCACTTGATTTTTATTCATAGCTTCTACTTCCTTTTTTAGGCTGATATAGTTCCCACTGAGCTCTTTATAATTCTCATTAAGTTGCTTGTAGTTCTCACTAAATTGTTTGAGCACCTTTAAAATCATTGCTTTGAATTCTTTACCTGACAAGTTGCTTGCTTCCATTTCATGTAGTTCCTTTTCTGGGGATTCCTCCTTTTATTTCATTTGGGTGTTGTATCTTTGTCTCACCATTTTAGTAGTCTGGTAGTTCTAGGGTCAGTGAGGGATGTTTGGATGTGTAGGCAGGTCAGTGTGTATCAAATAAGGCTGCTGTGCCTCCCAGACTGTTTTGATGTTTGGCACTTCTTGCCTGCTGTGGGTCCTGGAAGATTGACAACTGGTGGCTGGTATTGGTCTGTCATAGTAGGTGCTGCTGGGGTGTGTAGGTCCTGCTGGTGTGCTGCTGAGGTGCATGGGTCCAGCAGGATGTCCTGCTGCCTGGTGGGGCTCAGCTCCTGATCAGTCTCTGCTGATGCTGCTTAGGGCGACTGTCAACTCCTGGTTTGCACTGCTGCTTCTGTTGCCAGGGGGTGCCTTCAGCTCTCAATCCTCTGCTTATGTTTGGGGCTGAGGATGCTCAGCTCCCAGAACTTTGTTGCTGCTGGGGGTGTGTCTTGGCTCCCTGAGCCTCAGCTGCTGTTGGGGGTGGGACTTCACTCCTACCCAGTCACTGCTGCTGTGGGGGAAGGTGCTGGGCTCCCAAGCTGGTGCTACTGCTGCTGGGGGTGGTGCTTGGCTCCCAAACTGCCACTACTGCTGCTACTGTGGGGAATGGTGCTTGGCTCCCGGCTGGGTGCTGCTTCCCGAGCAGATACCTCGACAACCCTCTACTGTATGCTGGTTTGTGTTGACACAGCAGGGTCCATTGGTCCCACGGTGAAGGTGCACTGGTGGACTCAGGTCGCTCGGCCCTATCTGCTCCCTGCTGCCTCCTCCCAGAGACCAGTGATCTTCCAAGATGGCAGGACCTTCTGGCTGCGCAGGGAGAAGCATGCCCTGACAAGCCACTTACTGCAGTAGCCAGCTGCTTCCCGTCCACAGGAACCCTCTGCCCCATGTTTCTGCACTGCTCGAGGTTGCTCACCCACACTCACGTCCACACACACTCGCTTACACTCACACACTCACCCTCACTCTGGTCCTGTCTGTTGCCATTTTTTTCGGTGTTCCATTTTAAAAGATCAATAATCTTCTAATAACACTCTGGCCCTGGCCGGTTTGGCTCAGCAGATAGAGCATCGGCCTGCAGACCAGAGAGTCCTGGGTTCCGTTCCCGAAAAGGGCACATACACTTAAAAAAAAATTAATAACACTCTGACAAGAACTTTAGTTATATTCACATAGATAGATAAGCTTTATTTGGATGTCTGCATAAATATGAGTTGAAGTCAACACGGTTTTAACAAAGGGTTAAAATGTATTAAACAATAGAACTTGGTCCTTCCCTTCGGTTTGTCTCTGAATCCAGCTAACTAATCTGCCCTCATGTTTATCAGACACAAAATCTAAAACTCTTTGGGTGGCATTTCCTATTTGTCTGGAAATCTCTTAAAGTGCTTCAGTTACAGGAGAAGGGCCAGGTTTTCATCTGCCTGTATACTACTCCACTGGGGGCAAAAACACAGCCCTGGATTCTCATTTAAATTTTAGCTGTTTGCAAGCAGTGTACAAACGAAGAACTTAATGATAACACACAAAATATACATGTATACTGTCAATAGTAACTTTTCTTTAAACTTTTTTCATTAAAGAATTATATTTATTTTTATTATCTCTCCACAGAAAAGTTATAAAAATACCTGTCAATACATTGAAAAGACACTTTAAAATCCTGGGATAAAAAATTCTGAAGTATAAACTATGTTACCTGTGATTTACAAATAATGAAATTCTACAAGTTAGAATTTCTGAATGATTTTGACAGAAATTTACTAAGAACCAGAATATTAAACCTTAAAAGATTTTCAACTTACACCCCAACCGAATTTTTGAGAAGCTGCAATTGTTGACAGGCACCGTCCACACCGGCATTTGCTGCTGCCACCAGTGAAGTCAATCCGAAGGCAGAGATTTGTGTGCTGCACGTGCCAGGCTCTCCCATGCAACTGACTGAAGGGCTCCTCTCTTACTTTTTCCCTTATGTGTTAAACAGAAGTAAATATACATGTGGTAAAAAATTTAAATGTGGGGAGAGGGGAAATTTTAAATGGTTCAGTAAGATCCAAAATAAGCAAATCTGATATCTTCAAAGTCATTAAGCAATCATATGAATAATTTACCAACTGAAGTCAACCTTAGAGTCTCTTTATCTGAAAATGATTCTCAGGCCTCTGGAACCATGTTGATTTTCTTATGTATTACTTCTGTTGTGGAGAAAAGCCATGCAGTCTGCTTCGTCTTAAAAAACCATTACAAAAGCGACATGCATATTCGACTCAGAGGTAGAAAGTCCAGGCAGTATCTCGGACTCCATGGATCTGGTCCCAGCTCCAGACAGAGTCCCTGGTATCATTCCTGAAATTAAGGCATTTTCAAAATTAAGAACACCTTCTCTTCATTAAAATGAGGTCATCTGGTCCTTATAAGAGGAAGAGGCTTAACTCTCACAGAAATTCAGGTCGTCTGGTCATTACTTAATAGAAAAGTATCTTTATTTAACATTGTACAAAAGGGCATGCGCCACAGAGTCCCAAGTATTCAAGGTAAAACCAGGTCAAACTTTTTCTCAAGAACAAAGGGAAGGGAAGGCAAGATGACAGGGGACTAAGGCTGGAGAAGTTCTGTCAGAACAACTCCCACCCCACCACTGATGAGAAGCTGGATGCTCCTCATGCCCCTCTGGTGAGCAGCAAAGACTTACAGGGCGGGCGGCAGCTCAGCCGAGCCCTTCCTGGATGCCTCGGATCCTCCTGGCCAGTTGCACATCCTTTGGGAAGAGAGTAACCCGGCCGGCGTGCAGGGAGAGGAGGTAAGCGTCCTCAAAGAGATGTATCAGAAATGCTTCTGCTGCCTGGGGACAGAAACAGAAGCAGACTGACCTAGGCAAGGGGGCATGGGCTGCTTTTCCTTGGGGACCTGCTAAGCTTCATCTCTGAGGGCTCAAAGGACTACAGGAAAGACTGTTCACAGAATGAGACTGATCTGCCTGGGAATTCTGCTACCACCAAGCGAGATCCAGCCTCCAAACCCTGCGTGTTCTTGTGACTCTTTCCGAGGAGGAATGATCAGGCTGACCCTCCACAGCCAGCCCTGTGGAATTCCAGAATACCTTTCTCCCACACTCACCCCTCACCCAACTGTACCATGGCCCCCTACTTACCTCTTGTAGGGCCAACAGGGCCTGGGCTTGCCAATTGAAGTCCACCCCACGAGTGAATTTAACACATATTTCTCTTACCTATAAAGGAGTGGAGAAGGGAGGCAAAGGAGAAGGGGTGTGGGGAGGAGGAGAGAGTATAAGAAGAGTATAAGACACTATGTTGAGTTTCTGTCAATATTCACTCCATTATACCTTCCTGGCCCTCAATCTTAGGACCTAACTAGTAGCAGGTATCAATTCCTGGGAGCTTAGGAATTGGCATGTCTCTTACTGGTGGTGGGAAGAGGAGGAGGCAATCTCCCAGGGGAGGGTAGAGATGAAAGGACAGATGGATGAGAGGGTTTCTTTTCTTTTTCTTTTTTTTTTTTATCCTCACCCGAGGACATTTCTGCATTCATTTTTTCAGTTAGAGCAGGAGGGAGAGAGAGAGAGAGAAACATCAACGTGAGAGAGACACATCGAGTGGCTACCACCCACACAACCCCAACCAGGGCTGGGGACAAACTGCAACCAAGGCACGCGCCCTTAGCGGGAACCAAACCCGGGACTCTCTGGTCCGCAGGCTGATGCTCCAACTGCTGAGCCTAAACAGCCAGGGCAAGAGGGTTTCTATTTACATAATCAAAGAACACAGTTTCAAAGGTGATGGGGGTACTGGCCAGTTTGGCTCAGTGGTTAGAGCATAAGCCTGTGGTCCAGAGAGACCTGGGTTCAGTTCCCACTAAGGGCATGTACCTTGGTTGCAGTTTGTCCCTGGCCCTGGTTGGGTCATGTGAGAGGCAGCCACACGATGTGTCCCTTTCACTTCGATGTTTCTCTCTCTCTCTCCCTCCCACTCTATCTGAACAAAAAATGGAAAAATGTTCTCGGATAAGAATAAAAAGAAAGTGAAAGATTCAAAGGTGATGGGGGCAGAAAATTAATTCCATAAAGAACTGAAAGGTACCCTTGACAGGCTCATGGTTTTAGAAGATGAAGAGTCCCCTACCAAGTTAAAGAAGAGATCCCTTAGCCATTTGGGCAAGAGACGATAGGGTCCCCAATACAGGGAGAATTTAAAGAAAAGAGGCAGCACAGTGGTTGGGGGGAAGCCCCCTGGAGCTCACCAGGCGGCAGAAGGGCATCTTCCTTAATAACAGGTTTGTGCTCTTCTGAAGGATTCGGATCTCCCTCAGAACCCGATGTCTCCGGCGACTAGATGGACGGGAAGGAGTGCCTGAGCAAAAGAGTAGTCACACGGGTGAGTTGCAGTGGAAAACAGGTGGCACTTTGCAGCTTGGATGTCAAACCATCAAATTGCTAGACCATAATATAATCTACAAAAGCAAGGAATACAGTAATACCTCGGTTCTCGAACGCCTTGACTTTCGACCAAATCGGTATTCGACCAGGAGATTCGAGAAACTTTTGTCTCGGAATCCGAACAAATATTTGGAACTCGAACTTCCGAGATGAGCCGAGTTGAGCCGAATGGCGTTCATTCGGCCCAGCGCGCCTTGCTCGCGTCATCAGTGTGAGTGCAGAGAGAGAGTCACGCTTTGTGGAGAGAGTCACGCTACACTGAATTTAACCCTTAGACATACTGTACACTTTTATTTCTTGTTGAGACTTATGTTTTTCTACATATTATATACAAATTAGGCCAGTAAATAGGCATTTTCTGGGGCTTGGAACGAATTAATCCAGTTTCCATTATTTCCTATTGGGTTTCATTGCTTCGGTTCTCGAACAATTTGGTTCTCGACCGTCCTCCTGGAACGAATTATGTTCGAGAACCGAGGTATCACTGTATTGTCTATTTTACTCACCCTAGCTATCTTCAGCAACTGGAAAACAGGAGAGAGGTGCTAAATAAATATTTGTTAAATGAATGAATGATCCTTTGAGGGTATTATCTTTTTTATTTTTTTAGAATTTATTTATTGATTTTAGAGACAGAGGAAAGGAGAGGGAGAGAGAGATAGAAACATGTATTGGCTGCCTCCTGCATGCCCCCCACTGGGGATTTGGCCCACAACCTGGGCACGTGCCCTGACCGGGAACCAAACTGGTGACATCTTGTTTCATGGGTCGACGCTCAACCACTGAGCCACACCAGCCGGGCTGAGGGTATTATCTTAAATGCTAACTCTCACATGCAGCCTTTTCTGACTCCCGGTCCCTTTTTTAAAAACAACTTATCTTCATTGTTGAATGTATTACAGATGTCCCTCTTTTTTACCCCCCTTGACCCCCTCCTTCCTGTTTCATCCACACTGTTGTCTGTGTCTATTGGTTATGCATATATGTATATAAGTTCTTTAGTTTATCTCTTCTTGCCCTTCCTCCCCACTTCCCTTTGAGGTTCATCAGTCTAACAACCAATTTGTACTTCTTAATTTCTTCATCTTCTTCACCCGTCCCCCTAGCCCCCTCCCATTTGGCGAGCAATAAAAAGTTCTCTGTATCTATGAATCTGTTTCTGTTCTGCTTGCTCATTATGTTTGTAGATTTGATTTTCATAGATATATATTTATTGCCATTTTACTGTTCATATTTTTGTTCTTCAAGAAGACCCTTCAACGTTTCATATACTGGTTTGGTGATGAACTCCTTTAGCTTTTTCTTGTCTGGGAAACTCTTTATTTGTGTATCGATTCTAAATGATAGCTTTGCAGGATAGAATAATCTTGGCTGTAGGTCGTTGCTTTTCATCACTTTCACTATCTCTTGCCACTCCTTTCTGGCATGCGAAATATCTTTTGAGAAATTGGCTGACAGCCTTATGGGAACTCCCTTGTAGGTAACTCACTGCTTTTCTCTTACTGCTTTTAAGATTCTCTGTCTTTAACCTTTTGCATTTTGATGATGATGTGTCTTGGTGTGGACCTCTTTGGGTTCATCTTGTTTGGGACTCTGTGCCACCTGGACTTGTATGTCTGTTTCCTTCACCAAGTTAGGGACCTTTTCTGTCATTATTTTTTCAAATAGGATTTCAATCTCTTGCCCTTGCTCTTCTCCTGGCACTCCCATGATGTGAATGTTGGTATGCTTGAAGTTGTCCCATAGGCTTCTTATACTATCCTCATTTTTTGGGATTCTTTTTTCCTTTTGCTGTTCTGATTGGGTGTTTTTTGCTTCCTTGTATTCTAGATCAATGGTTTGCTTCTCGGCTTCACCTACTCTACTATTGATTCCCTGTAAATTATTCTTTATTTCAGTTAGTGCATCCCCAATTTCTGTCCTTTATTATGCTCTTGAGGCCCTCACTAAGTTCACTGAGCATCCTTTTAAATAGTGTTTTGAACTTTGCATTTGTTAGATTGCTCATCTCCATTTTGTTTAGTTCTTTTCCTGGAGTTGTGTTCTGTTCTTTCCTTTAGGACATGTTTCTTTGTCTCCTCATTTTGGTTGCCTCCCTGTGTTTGTTTCTATGTATTAGGTAGAGTTGCTATGTATCCTAGACTTCCTAGGGTGGCCTGTTGTAGTAGGTGTCCTGTAGGGTCCAGTGGCACAGCCTCCTTGATCACCCAGCTTGTGTGCACCCCCTCGTGTGGACTTAACACCTTTCTGTTGTAATTGAGTCTTGATTGCTGTTGGCATGTCAATGGGAGGTTTTTACTCAGGCTGATCAGCTGCAAGGACTGGATGATCAGCTGTGCAGGGGCCCACCACACAGAGCAAGACTTACTTCAGCAGGGCTCTGGTACCCTGAGTCCATTCCTTGAGTGTGTCACTTGTGGAGGTGGTTGGGTGGTGGTGCTTCTATGTGGTCTGAAGCTGTCCACTGTGTGTGCTGGCTCTGGGGCAAGGTTAGCCACTACCTGTGTTCTACCAAGGGCCACCAGGTATATGCTACAAAATGATCTCCTGATGGCTGCTTCTTGTGCTGGGCTTAGAGGTGCCCAGGCGAATCCAAGCTGTGAATCAAGGCTGGCTGCTTCTAGTGCCAGGCCTGGGGCCACTCAGCAAGAGGTATGGGGCTCGCTGTGGCCAGATGCTGCTTGTTTGAGAGAATTTAGAAAAATCTGAAGCAGGAGCCAAAGCAGGCCAATCCTATGGTAAAGCCACTGGAAACAGCTTGGGTGGGCCTGAAAGTTGGGTGGGGCGGGGCCTCAGGGACTCACCAGGGCAGGGCAAACAGTATGAGCCGGTTGCAGGAGTCCCACATATGGCAGCCTCTGCCTGCCCTGTGGGGGAAGGGCTCATCAAAGGAACAACGGCCTCCATCAGCAGGTCTGTCCAGGAGAAAGCTGCCTCTCCAGCCCTTGCCCTGATGCCAAACAACTCAGTTCTTCCCCATATGTCTCTGGTGCCTTTCAAGCTGCCTCCCCTCCACGCTGGAGCTCAGAGGGAGCAGGTCTAAGTAAGTCTGTGTGCGGGCCCTTTAAAAGGAGCTGCCTGGGGCTCCAGCAGCCTCAGCCTCCCTCGGCCTCAGTTCCTGCTGGTTTTACAGCCATAAGTTATGGGCACTTCTCTTCCTGGCACTGGAACCCTGATCTGGGCGCCTGGTGTGGAACAGGGGCCCCTCACACTCCAGGGAGGACTTTCACAGCCAAGGTACCCTCCTGATTTTTATCATTACAAAGGATTAGAAAAGCTGCAAGAGCAAATCAGGTTGGTGAGGCAATCCAGAGATGCCCTGTGCCACACAACTGGCAGTGGAGACTTTATCCCTGGGTGGGAGAATGTGGGCCAAAATATCAGGGCAATGTCTAGCAGATTGGTGACATTTAGGAGAAAGAGGGAGACACATAACCAGAGGCAAGCTACTGGCACCTGTCTCCTTCTTCACCACCAGTCAGCAACCCCGTCACTGGAGGCAGCCTTTAATAAGCAAACAGCAGTTACAGAACACAACTAAAGGTCACCAAATGATTTAAGAAGACCAACCCATGAAAAGAGGGAACAAAACTGAACAAACAAAATAATTAATACCAGAGGAATCTGAGTTCATAGAGCAAAGAGATAAAGACTGAGAGAAATATACAGCATAACCTCAGAGGGGTAAGGGAAGAAACCATGACCCAAGAACAAGTGGTTATGAAAAGGAGCCGATTATAGAAATCATGGGAAAGGACTGGGGTTAAACATTCAGTAGGTGAGTCTTGAAATGCCAACATAAGGAACTGGGATTCAATCCAAAGGTAATAGAAAATCATGGAAATTTTAAGCAAGACAGAGAGGTGATCCACTTCCATTGTGAAGATCATTCCAGCTGTTGTGTAAAGTAAAACAAAAAAGGGACATGCGTGGAAGCGGAATAGTGGCTGGTTAGGATGCTGGTGGCTTGGACTAGGCTGGTGGGAGTAGAGGTGGCAACAAGTGGAGTGATTAAGGATGCAATATGGAGGTAGAATTGCCTGAACTTGCATTTGGATTGAACATGGGGGTGATAGAAAAGTATTTCTTCCAGGTTTCAGGCTTGAACACCTGGGTCGGTGATTGTGCCATTTACTTAAATGGGGAGAAGTGAGGATGAAGAGGTATGAGGGGAGTAATGAAAAGTTTCGTTTTCAGTATGTTCAATTTGATATACCCACAAGCACTTAGGAGGAAAGGCAGTTAGATATAAGTATCTGTGCTCAGAGAGAAATCTGGGCTAAAGATATAAATGTGAGAGCTATCGATGCATGAGTGGTATTAGTCATGGAAAGAGATGAGACCCCCTGGGGCAGGGAAAGAAAGGACAAGGACACCACGGAAGTCCAACATCAAGTTACTGGAGAGAGGTGGCCCAGGCAGTAAGAAACACTAAGCAGAACTGCAGAGTGTGTGGTATTGTGGAAGCCAAGGGGACAGTGTTTCAAGAAGTAAGTGATCCACTGTCTCAAATGCTTCTGAGAGACAGAGTAAGAAAAAAGCACAGACATGTCTATTGGGTTTAGCAACACAAAAGTAGCTGGTGACCTTGATAAGAGTAGTTCAAGTACACTAGAGGGAGGGGTAGTGGTGTGGATAGTCAGACTGAAATGAACTGAAGGATGACTGAGAAGACTGGCAACAGACATGTGTATAGACTTAAGTCTGGCTATTTTATTTTATTTTATTTTTTTTAATCCTCATCCGAGGACATTTTTCCATTTTTTGTACAGACAGAGTGGGAGGGAGAGCGAGGAAGAGAGAGAGAGGGAAAGATCGATGTGAAGGGACACATCGAGTGGCTGCCACCCGCACGACCAACCAGGGCCGGGGACAAACTGCAACCGAGGTACATGCCCTTAGCGGGAACCGAACCCGGGTCTCTCCGGACCGCAGGCGGGCGCTCTAACCGCTGAGCCAAACTGACCAGGGCAAGTCTGGCTATTTTAAAAGAGTAGCTATGAAGGGCAGTAGAGAGAAATGGGGAGTATGAGGGAGACGGGTCTGTGGGGACATGGAACCACCCTTGCCCTTCATTGTTATATCAAAGTTGCAGAGCACATTTATAGAATGCCAATGTAAGGAGTCTGAATTAATTCTAAGTGTAGGTGGAGAGAATAACAGAAAGCTTCTGGGAAAGTAGGAGAAGAATATGACCAAGAGCCCGGCAGGAAGAGGAGTGGCTTTTGATAGAAGGGGTACAACTACATTCTCTGTTGTAAGAAGGGGAATCCATCTGGTGACTTCTATTTCCTCAGTGAAGCTTGAGTTAAGGTCATCATCAGCTGAGATGAGATGGGGGTCTAGAATTGTAGGAATTGGAAGAAGGTATAGAATAGTCATAGGGAAAAGGAAAAACAAGACTTCCAGACCAGTGCAGTAAGACTGCCAGGAAATGTTGAGTGTCCATTTATGATAAAACATTTAATTTAACCAGAGTAGAGAAACGCTTCTACATAGGAAAGCAACAGCAAACATCATACTTAACAATATTCCTGTTAAAATTACGAATGAGACAAAGATGGCCAAAATACTGCTCTTATTTCAATACTAGTCTCAGGGACTCACTAATACAATACAATAAGAAATAAAATGGCTCTGGCCTGTTTGGCTCAGCGGTTGGAGCGTCAGCCTGTGGTCCAGAGAGACCGGGGTTTGGTTCCCGCTAAGGGGACGTACCTCGGTTGCAGTTTGTCCCTGGCCCTGGTTGGTCGTGCGGGAGGCAGCCACTCGATGTGTCCCTTTCACGTCGATGTTTCTCTCTCTCTCTCTTCCTCTCCCACTCTATCTGAACAACAACAACAAAATAATAAAATGGCCCTGCCCCGATGGCTCAGTGGATTGAGCATTGACCCATGCACCAGGAGGTCCCTGATTCAATTCTGGGTCAGGGCACATGCCCAGGTTTCCGGCTCAATCCCCAGTAAGGGGCATGCAGGATGCATCCGACGGATGTTTCTCATTGATATTTCGATCTCTCCTTCTCTCTCAAATCAATAAAAACATATTTTTTAAAAATTCAGTTAATTAACTAAAAGACTATTAGGATTAACTAAAGAATTCAGCAAGTTGGCAGGATGTAAAGGTTCTTTATATTTAGGAGAAAACAAACACAGCAACATCTATAAATAGTCTATAATATCCTTTCCCCCACCCTGCTCTTAGCTATGCAGAAGTCAAGTAAAGCAGTTCTCGCATCTCTCCCCCGCCAGACTCCAGCACGGATTCTGAGGACCACAGGCCAGTCTTTCTGGGCACACGTCTCCCAAATGGAACAATTTGAGAGCTCTGCTTGAGTAAATACACAAGCTAAGCCCCAAAGCAGCCACTGGCAGAAGGAAAAACAAACAAACCCAGAAGGGCACCTTCTAATAGAATCGTTGTTTGAAATAATCACAAAAAGCAGCCAATAATTCTGCAATTTAAAAAAGTACAAACACCGACTTGTAGAAAACCTGTGTCCACCAGAACAAACTGTGTGGCCTTCTTCAATTTACCTGGCTTTTCTGCATCTCATCTGTAAAGTGGTCACAATATGAAGTCGAGATAATTTACATCGATTTGAACACAACGCCTAGTTAGGGGTGAGCACTCAGCACATGCCAGTAATACCGAGAAGAATCCGCCTTAGGAGCCAGGTTGTCTGGGTCAGTCCTCTGCCCTACTCGGAACTGCCTTGCCCAGCCCCTCGCCCGGCTCGGAACTTGGGACCTTCCCGAGCAGATGCTGGAAGGCCTGCGGGACAGGAGCCAAGAGGTCGGGCTCGATTCCACGCAGCGAGCGAGCCTCAGTTTTCCCGTCTGTGAAATGGGCACGCGGATCCGGCCGTACCCAGCTTGCAGACAGGTTGCAGGGGGACCGGCTCCGAGGGAAGGGGACCGCGGCTGGTTACCTGAGGGGGCGCCCCGCCGGGGGGTGCGGGGCGGCGGGGGCGTCGGGGGCGCCGGGGGCGGCGGGCTCCCCGGGCGCCTCCTTGGGGTTTCGGCCTTGCGTCTCCGGCGGCGCGGGCCCATGGCTGACGCAGAGGGTCTCGGCCCCGCGGCTCCTTCTCCGCCTTCTGGGTTCGGGGGTTAAGGCTGGCGTCGGGGAAGGTCTAGGAGCGCCCCGGTCACGTGCGCCGGAGGGGGGGGTGAGCCCCTCGCCGACCGCCCCTGCCCGGGGTTCAGACGGCCCGCTCCGCGGATTACTGCCGGCGTTTTTTAAAACCCGAGTCCTGCGACTCTCAGTGGTTGCCTCTGGAGCCGAGCGACTACAGGAGGAGCCAATGAGAACACAGGCCGGAGGCTAACGGCGGCGGTGATAGGGAGAGGAAGCGGGGTTATGGCGGATCGACGGGGAAACCATCCAATGGGCCTTGGGAACGTAAAAGGAGGAGGCACTTTCTCCCGCCCTCCACTTGTTTGTGGCGGAGCTGTCAGATTGTTGTCTTCGGGTGCCCTCTGGTGGAGAAAGGAAAGCTCGATTCTGGAGACGTAGATGTGTCTGAAGAAAGCGTTTCTCTAGTCTAGACAAATCACTTGCTCAAACATTTTATGTTTTGCTCTATCAACCCAGAGATGGCGTTAAAGATGAGGAGACAGACCGCTCCCTACCCAGGATCGAGCTGGCCACCAGGGCATGTGCCCTGACCGGGAATTGAATCTGCAACCCTTTTGGCACATTTGATGATGCGCACTCGAGCCACACTGGCCAGGGCTGTCATTTTTTATTTGACAATCTAAGGGAAAAGACCAAAAAGCCAGGTGTTGCATGTTTTAAAAATTCTTGTGGTGTACTCGTTGAAAATTGCTGCCTTACGCAATAGATCTTACAACCAGGGCTCTAAAAGGTAAGTCTGCTTCTTGAATGGCTCTTGTATTCATCCTCAGCACCATTTCCACAGTCTAGACTCTAGACCCTTCTTAACCAAAGGTGGTCTTACCGGCCTTTCGTACTTCCTAATGCTAATCAAATCTGTTTCCATATAACAACCAGGTGATCGTCCCAAACAGGAATTTGGATCATGCCCCCCCCCCCCCCTTGCCTAAAACTCTCCAGGGTACCCTAGTCTAGAGTCCTAACGCCTCAGCAAAGCCTGAAAGGCACAACACTATCTGGGCACCTGCCCCACTCTGGTCTTGTCTCTGGCTACTTCCTGTGAGGGATGCTTATTGCCAGGCGTACCAGTCTACTTACCTGCAGTTCTCAAACACATCACCTTGTTACACACGTACATGTTTCCGTACTTCTTTTTTTTAAAGATATTTTTAATTAATTTTTAGAGAGAGGAAGAGAGAAACATCGATGCGATAGTGTTTGTACAGTTGAGTGCACAGATGGGCAGCCCACTGCAGGAGCAGTCCTGTTTCGGATACACTCTCGCTGCTCCCTGTGGCAGGAGGGGATGGGCCAGGGCTGAAGCAGACACTCAGGCTTTGTGTCTCTGGCTGTGTGACCCTGGGAAGCCCATTCCTCTGGGCTTTAGTTCCTTCATGTGAACAATGTGTGATAGACTGGGTGATCTCTACGGGTTGGCACATTAGAGCTTTTCCATCCAACATTGTAGATGCTACCCCTCGGAACATCCCTTCCCTCACTAAATAGAAAGTCCATACTGCCAATTTCCCTTTTCTTTTTTACATAAAGCCTAAGACAACACCTTAAGGCAGGTATCTTGACAAGGCAGCTGTCGTCCCCACCACCCTTCCTCTCCACTTCCTGCTTTCTGTGACACATGCTGTGTCCCACAGGTGCTCAGGGGCCCCTGGGACTTGAGCTGGTGGGATGGAAAGACCCTCTCTTCTCCCAACAAACTTTACTAATAACCTGCTGGATTCCCATAGAGCCTGAGAGTTTTGCTTGTTAAAGATCCCTTCCCCCAGAATCTATTTTAAGGAAGGCATGTGGTGTTCCACGCTCAAGCTGCCCTGGAAAATGGTCTGAGGCTCCGAAGCTGCCACGTAGTGAGGAACGCTGGGAGGGAGGGCTGCTCAGCTCCCTGGGGTCCCCCATGCCAGTTCCCTCTCTTGTTGGGGGGAGTTGCTGGGAGGACACCAGTTCATGATGTTTCTGTCCCAGCCACAGGAAATTCCCCCAAAGACCCCAGAGAGAGACAGTACAGCTTTGGAATCAGGCAAACCTTGCTTAAGTACCTGCTCCACGAGGAAGTCAGTTAATCTTCTCTGGGCCACAGTTTCCTCATCTGCACCCACCTGTGCAGGTTGTTATGTGAGACAATGAAAGTTAAGCACTTCATTTAATGCCTGGGATACCAGAATTATTCTGAATGGGTAGAATCCTGGTCGATCTATCACCCTGGAGGGGGCGCTATGGGGTCAGGTTGCTGGGGCTGGGGCTGAGGGCCAGCTGTGTTCTAGATCCCCACCTGTGGCAGGGTCATGTGGCTATGTGGCCAGAGCCCATGGCAGGACACCGATCTTGCCAAACAATTTATAATTTTAGGCTTCATTTTCCTCACCTTAAAATGGAAGGTGTAGAGTCCATAAAAGCTGTTATCAAGGCTGCCTGGAATCCCCCTGCAATCTCTCCCAGGAAGGGAAGCCCTGAAGGTGTGTGAGGGAGGACACTGGACACCAAAAACAGGCCTGGGGAGGAGGCACTGTGGGCAGAGGGAATTTCCAATGAAGGGGCTGTTACTCCTTTCCCAGGTTGGTTAAAATCACAGGCCCACGAATGGGCCCCGCTGGAGTTGGAAGGCGCTGAAGCCACAGTGCTGACCCCATCTGCTTTGTAGAGCAGGCTACCGAGGCCCAGAGCCACCAGGGAATGGGCTGGGGGCGCACACACGGAGTGAGCGAAACCCAAGGCTCCAGAGAGGGTTAGGGAGTATTACAAGTTTAAATTTTCTCACTGACCTCTCTTTGGAGAATCCATTTTCACTTGATTTAGAAAATCCTAGGGTTGTTAGTTCCTGCAATTCCACTTCCTGATTTTGCTCTAGTGCTGCTGCAGAGGTTTGGGGGTCTGGCGAGCTTGGCGGGGTCTGGCACTACATTCAGGCCTGTGAGGGCTGGGTAACACCTTTCTGCAGGAGGTGGTGACAAAGGAGGACCTGGGTGTCTGTCATCTTCTGTGGTAGCAGCTGTCCTGGGGGGTCTTTGGGGAGGGGCAGGGCGAGGCCTTGGGGACAGGAAACTTGAGGCTCACTAGCCTGTGTGGCCTCAGCCTCAGGGTGAACAAGGTGCATCCAGGTGGCAGCAGGGGCCCCACAGGAGACTCAGCTGGCATCATTGATGGCAGTCCGAGAGGCATCCAGCAGTCTCTCTCGCTCGCCCTCCTCTGCTGGGGACTGGCCCCGGGACAGGCAGGTCAGCAGCGGCCGGTGCAGCCCATTGTAGAGGGCAGTGCCCATCAGCAGGATGAGGAAGCCGAGGATCTGCAGTGGGTGGAAGGTCTCCCAGCCCAGCGCTAGGCTCAGTGCCCAGATGACAATGGTCCGCAGGCTGTCCAGCACCATGCGGGTGGTGGCACTCAGCTCCTTGGTGACGCTGATACCCGCAAAGTTGAAGAAGGCGATGCTACCGATGTTGCCCAGCAGTGCCAGGGCGATGAGTGGCTGCCGGCCCACCTGGCAGAAAGCGTCCAGCGCATCCTCCAGTGCCCCCCGAGGGTTTCCACTGAAGGAGCCGGCAGGGATGTAGTACATGGGCACCAGCAGCAGGGACAGGATCACGAAGCCAAAGAGGCCTGCGGAGAGAAGGACGCACATTACACTCTGCACTTGGCCGGGACTCCCAGCACATCGGGACCAGCAAGGCCTCCCTTGCTCCAGCCACCCCTTCCTAGTGGCCCTGACACTAGCATCTTCCTTTCAGGTCCTAGAGCCATCCCCTCATCAGGATCCACAGTGGCCTACTGAATGGGCTCGAGCTGCCCCTTCTCCACATTAATCCACATTTTCTGGCTGGACCAAAAGAGATACATTTTACACTGTGACCAGTGTACATACATACAGGCACGAACACACACGCTTTCACAAAACAACAGCTACCCTTACAATGTACAGAGCTCTCTGACACTTAAATTCCAGTCTGTTCATTTAAAAGAACTGCTGGCTATGGCCACCGCAGTGCTCACAAGTGTGGAAAAACAGCTCCCCATTCAGTGCCACTGGTCTGTGATGAGGAGCTGAACCCGAATAAAAATCAATGCACCGCTTCATTCAGAAAGTCTTGCTAGAATAAAAAGAGCAGAAACAAACAGTATGCTTGATGATGTCGTGGATTTAGTTGATTCACGTTCTGCCATAAGCCCTCGGCTCACTGTGGACCAGGCACAAACAGCTCCCTGGTGGCCCGCGGGCCACACTTACAGTACTGCTCTGATCCTCCCTGCTAGTTCCATTTTTTAAAAGCTAAATTAGTTATTTCCCTGCTCAAAAACCTTTGATCGCTCTTCTCTGCCTGTCACTTAAAGTCTAAATGCACCTGCCTAATGTTCAAGGTTCTCCATGATATGATCTGGACCCGATCATTTCCCCAACATCAAACCTGCACCTGACCCAAACTATTCCTCACTGTTTTCCAAACTCACGTCCAGCTCCCCTTGTCTTTGCTGTCTGGAGTTCCCTCCTTGCCACTCTGCCTGTTGAAACTGCAGCTCAAATGCCACCTTCCCTGACCCAAGACACTCAGATACTGGCAGGTGAAACATCACTTGAGCACAAGTGGTTTGAGCACAGACGCACTGCTGGTCAGCTCCTCTAGACTGAGGCTTACAACTAATTCATCTTCAGCCCCGTCCTCCCTGAGCTCCTGGCCTTGGGCACAACAGGTGCCAAAGTATTTGTCAACACGTATGTGGTAAAGGGAGGAAGGAAGGGGGCAGGATGCTCACGCCCTCCCAGTGGTCCCTATGTGCTCTTATGTGTACATTCACTCCACGTGCTACCCTCCAGTGTGCCCCCTGCCCAGTGCCCTCCCCCGGCCCCTGTGCTCACGCACCCTCAGTGCCAACTGCCCGCAGAGGGTGCACATTGTGCTTGTAGACGAACTTCTCCTCTAGCACCATCTGGATGGAGACGATGATCTGGGCCATGATGATCAGCAGGTCCCCTGTGGGAAAAGATCAACGGGGCCCAGGGTGAGGGAGGCAGGGAGACAGCAAGGCCGCGGGGCTGCTGGCAGGGCAGTGGGCCCAAAGTCGAGGGAAGACAGCACCCGTGGGGACATAACAGCCTCTGATTTTTGCAGGGACCATACAGTTCATGAGGCATAGTCATGGCTGGCCCCTAGAGGTGGGGCAAGTTGACAAGGCAGGCACTGTCACCCCTCTGGGCTGAGGTCCCAGAAGGCCCAGAGGCCTGCACAGTGGGGAGCAGGCTTGGAGATAGGCATTTCTGGCTTAACCCTATCTGAGTGACCAGGTGGTCACTTCACTATAGAATAAGTGGCACTGCTTTCTTTCTGGGATTGTGGGGATCACTGTGATGACAAACAGTGCTCAGCACCAAGCTGGTCACTTAATACATGCTCCGTAAACGTTCGTTTCTCCTCTTCCAAATCCAGCGGTGTGTGTATATGGGCACATCATAGCACAAACCCTCTGCCTCCTCTGACCGCTGGCTCCTCGTCTACCCATTTCTCATGCTGCCGGGACCCCTGGCCTTCCCTACACTCCATCTGTCAACTTGAGAGCAGGCGCATGTCCACACAGCCAGTCCCCACATGCTCCCACCCTGGGCTTGGCACGCAGCAGAGCTTGGAAGTTTGTTGAATGACTCTGTGCTGGGCTCCCAGAGAGGACAGGGCAGGACAGGAAGGGCAGCTCCTGGATCCCCTGGCCACACCTGTGATCACTTCGCTGAGCTTGTGCTGACCGTCATGCTTGCTCAGGAGGTCGGCCAGGCCCACGACCACCAGCCCTGCGATGGTTGCGAGGATGCCCAGCCACTGGCTCAGCACCAGCCTCCGCCCCAGGAAGGCCACTGAGAACAGGCCTGTGAATATGATCACTGCTCCACGCAGCATCTGGAAACTGGAGGCGCTGGTCATGTTCAGGGCTAGGAGAGACAGATGCACGACATTAGCTCCTGAGGGTCAAGGCTGTCTGCTCACTGAGGTGTTCTCAGGGCTGAAGACATACCTCCCACATGGTACATGCTCAGTAAACCCTGGGTGAGTGTGAGTTTGTGAGTCTGTGGGAGAGGGGCAGGGGTGAGGTGAAGATGAGTTGGGGTGGGGGTGGCTGTTTCATCAATGGCCCCCTTGGATGATGGGCTTTGCTAAGACCTAACCAGCCTGGCCTGGCTACTCACCCACATACATGATGCTGGTCCCGGTCATGTCACATAGGGCTGGGGGCAGGAAAAGAAGGGGGTTGAAGGGCTGCTGGGGATCCACGCTGGCATCTGGGTGCCTTGCAGCTCGGCACTGGAGCAGGTAGAAGGCGACCAGGCAGGAGAACTCCCCCAGGAACATGCCCACCGCCTGCAGGGACAGAACCCCAGTAGCTTAGAGCTGGAAGGAGGATCACCTTTAACAAAAATTTTTTTTAACATAACCTTTCTTCAAACAAGAGCTTACCTCTAACCCCAACACATAGAACAGGCAAAAGCAAAGCTACTGTGTGGGGAAGGCCAGAGACTGCCTCTTGGGCCACCCCTAAGCCCCTTAAACATCTTGATACAAACCTAAAGGCTGTGTAGAGCCCCGTCTGAAAGCCACCGACCTAGGCCAACACTGGTCAAGTTCCAGCTGGAGCAACTGGGGTCCAGAGAGGCCCAGGAACTTATTTAAGGTCACAGAGCAAGTTACTGCCTGAGCTGGGCTGAAACTTGGGTCTCCCACTTCCCAATTGAGCAGTAAGGTGCCTATTTATGGTGTCCGCCCTGTCGCAGTGGGGTCTAGGCTCCCAGTGGATGGAGAGCAAGTTTTGCTACGATAGTTTATGTTTTCCAAATGTGCCCTGACAGCGTGGTGGGGGCCGGGCTCACCATGCCCAGGGCAGACTATGCCCTCTGCTCCCTTCCAGGGGCACACACTCTGACCTCTGCTCTGGGAGGGAGACAGCAAAGTGGGCAGCTCTTCTGGGAGCAGGGGAGGACTCCACCTTTAGGTCAGGAAACAGCAGGGCCCCAGGGGCCCCTGATCGAGGCTTGGGAGACGGGAGATGGGGAGGGCAGGGCAGATACCTGGAGGAAGGGATGCTGGAAGCTGTGCTCCTGGCTTCCTCCGCAGCCGGGGGCCACGAAGTTGTCCGCCCACCTGCAGCAGAGAGAGAGAAGCTCACGCCCTGTAGTGCAGCGGCCGCCTCTGGACAAGCTCGCTCCTCTCAACGCCAACAGGCCATGCTCAGGGGCCTCGGCCCAGAGCGGGGCCCCCTCTCAGAGGCCAGTCTCCACGGCAAGGAGTCTTCATCTGGGATCACGGACAGAACGGAGGGGCCTGGGAAGCTTTAGCTGAAATGTCACGAACCTCTAACTGAAATTAAGCATTTCTTCAAATTATGAACGTGGTATTGCAGTACCTGCAACTTGGTCACAGAAATCACAGCTGTTCTCATTACCACATTAGAGCCGTAGCAGATATTGTGAAGTATCATTTACACTCATCACGGCTCCAACAGTTTAGTAGTTACACCCACTGCTTATTCGTTTATGCATTAAGAAGCACATACAGCCCTGGCCGGTTTGGCTCAGCGGTTAGAGTGTTGGCCTGTGGTCTGGAGAGACCTGGGTTTGGTTCCCACTAGGGGCATGTGCCTCGGTTGCAGTTTGTCCCTGGCCCTGGTTGGGTCGTGTGGGTGGCAACCACTCAATGTGTCCCTTTCACGTCAATGTTTCTCTCTCTCTCTCTCTCTCCCTCCCTCCCACTCTATCTGAACAAAAATATCGAAAAATGTCCTCGGGTGAGGATAAAAAAAACCCAACCATATACACACCTATTACCATATCACAGATTTGCCTTTTTAATGTTTTGATAACTTTATTTCAGCAAAATTGGCTTTTTCTGAAATGCCCAATCTTTTATTTGCATATTCTAAAACATTACTTTAGGATTCACCATAGTATCAAAGGGACCAAAAGGGACCCATGGCACAAAAATATCAAGAGCCGCTGGTCTCCAGGGCACTTGGCTGGAAAATGACGGCCTGACACAGACCACCTGGTCACCTTCATATACCGTGAAGGGTTTGGAGGGTCTTTCTAGTGCAGACTCTAAAGCAGGTGGCAAGTATCTGGCACCAGTGGAGTGGCCTCCCTGCCAGCACCCTGGCAGACGGCAACACTGAGTATGAGTCGCTTCCCCAAAGAGCCCACACACAGGCCCAGACTCTGCAGCACGGAGCCGGAGCCGCCAGTCCCACCCACATTCTGCGTTGTCTGCCGTCTGGAATTTCATTTTTGCTGGGTTTAGTGGTGTCCTTCTGGTCCAGTCTGCTCTCTCATTTGAAAGCCCTTCAGATATCTGGAGACTCTTCCACCTTCAGAATCTTCCCATCTGTTGGCTAAACAGCCCAGCCCCTCCTAACCTTTCACTTCCCTGGCTGCTGCCTGGAAGCGATCTGGGGGGCTGGGCCCAGCGCCAAGGGCATGTGATCTGGCCCAGACTGAGCCTGGCAAGATAGTGCCCCCGCCCTCATGTGGGACGTCCTGGCTAGTTGACACGACTTTGACTGTGTCACACTGCTGACTCGAGTCAACGAGGAGCCAGGGCTGCTCCCTGGGGGCCGCTGACCTGCTCCTCTGCAGCACCCCACAGAGGCAGCGGCTGTTTCTAAGCGGAAGTATTCAGGGCCTCTTCTTAAATCTCTCCTTGCAATGCGTGTCAAGAGCAGCCACACCGCAGTGTCCAACCCTACTCCAGTCACTGCAGAAGCCCGAGCTCCTAAAGGGCTGGGGAGCCTTCTGCTCCCTGCCCCCCCCCCCCCCCCCCAGAGCCACAGCATGAGCCACCGGTGTGCCAAGCAGTTAGGGTCTGGGTTTGACAAACACCCTGTCCAGCCCTGACTTCTCTGTGCCCCGAGTTTGGGGAGGGGGACAGGAAGCTCTTTCCCACAGCCCAGGGCAAGGGCATGATGCCCGGGTGCTGGCAGTGGGAAGGTAGGCTGAGTGGTGGTGGAGCTCCTGGTTGACCGCGAGGGAGCACGGACCTGTGAGGGAGAGACCACGTCTCTCAGATACCTGAACACATCCCAGGACGAGTGAACAAACAGGGCTTATCTTAAGAGGGAGACCGCCATCCACTCTGAGACTGGAGTAAGAGGGCAGTTAGGAGGGCTTGTGGCTCTTGGGAGTGACAAGGCCTACAGGAGAGGTGCTGGGTGGGGAGATGCTCTGATACGACTGGCTGGGAAGGCAGAGAGAAATCGGAGTCAGGGGACCAGGCTATAATCAGTCCTAGTACCAATGGAGAAAGGAAGCCCTCACTGTAGAACAAATCCACCTGCTCTCTGGGGTCTCATTTCTGCCTGATCTGCTACAGGTTCTGGCTCTTGGATCCCCAGGGAGGGCAGGGCATGGGATGTGGGTGGGGGCCGCAGGCAAACGGTGGCTCAGGGCGGGCCTGCTTTACAACCAGGCTTGCTTTTGCAGAAAGAGCACCCTGGGAGGGTCTGGGGGAGGCAACTGAGGAAAGAGGTCGAACTTTACCAAGGGCACAAAGCCAACTTCCCTGGAGAAAATTAGTAGGTTGGAGAGATGGGAATTCCTGGGGCTGGAGCCAGGACTCCCCCAGGTAAGGGAGGTCCTGCCAAATCCATAAAGTCAACCAGAAGCCTAGGACACAGGCAGGTATGGAAGCCCCTTCCTCATCCTGGGGTCACATCAGAGCACAGATAGGCAGGCTCAAAGGGACCCCCAGATCTAGTGGTTGAGCCACTTGCCGCCCCCCCCCCCCCCCAACTACTGTCTACACAGCTTACATTAATGACAACCCACATCTGTCTCACTTTCTGGTTCCATACCCACTGTCATTTGAGAGTGTAAGTTCAGCATCCAGCAACTTCCACATCCCTCAGTCCCCTGCTCCTGGCACATCACTATACAGAAGCTCAAACATATTTTGGTTGAATGAATGAGACTTCCAGACCCCTCTAAGCAAATACGCATGTATTACATACAGTCCAGAGGCAAGATCTCATGGGTCCTAATTTCCCACCCAGTCTGAGGTGCCCCCTGCGATGGGACAAGCTGGGCCTGTCTTTTCCCAGGGTGGGGCACTGTGTGGGGAGCTGGATGCAGGGTTGATGCTGAGTCCCCCCCCCCTCCCCCCCCAAAGAGCTGTCTTTGCTGTCTCCAAGAGGCGGGACTGCCTGAACAGGTTGGGGCTGGCAGAATTCCCAGCTGGGGAAAAGGAGTCTTTTTGTATCTGAGGGCCGGGGATGGCTTACAGCCCCAGGGATTAGGTATCATCAGGACAGGCTGCCCTGCACTGCCACTCTTCAGGCCAGGGAGCAGATCAGACCGGGGAGGAGATCGGGCCAGGGAGGAGATCGGGCTGAGGAGGAGATCAGGCCGGGGAGGAGATCAGGCCGGGGAGGAGATCAGACCAGGGAGGAGATCAGGCCGGGGAGGAGATCAGGCCGGGGAGGAGATCAGACCAGGGAGGAGATCAGGCCGGGGAGGAGATCAGGCCGGGGAGGAGATCAGGCCGGGGAGGAGATCAGACCAGGGAGGAGATCAGGCCGGGGCGGAGATCAGGCCGGGGCGGAGATCAGACCAGGGAGGAGATCAGGCCGGGGAGGAGATCGGGCCAGGGAGGAGATCGGGCCGAGGAGGAGATCAGGCCGGGGGAGGAGATCAGGCCGGGGAGGAGATCAGACCGGGGAGGAGATCAGGCCGGGGAGGAGATCAGGCCGGGGAGGAGATCAGACCGGGGAGGAGATCAGGCCGGGGAGGAGATCAGACCGGGGAGGAGATCAGGCCGGGGAGGAGATCAGGCCGGGGAGGAGATCAGGCCGGGGAGGAGATCAGGCCGGGGAGGAGATCAGGCCGGGGCGGAGATCAGGCCGGGGAGGAGATCAGGCCGGGGCGGAGATCAGGCCGGGGAGGAGATCAGGCCGGGGAGGAGATCAGGCCGGGGAGGAGATCAGGCCGGGGAGGAGATCAGGCCGGGGAGGAGATCAGACCGGGGAGGAGATCAGGCCGGGGAGGAGATCAGGCCGGGGAGGAGATCAGACCTGGGAGGAGATCAGGCCAGGGAGGAGATCAGGCCGGGGAGGAGATCAGGCCAGGGAGGAGATCAGGCCAGGGAGGAGATCGGGCCGGGGAGGAGATCAGGCTGGGGAGGAGATCAGGCCAGGGAGGAGATCAGGCCAGGGAGGAGATCGGGCCAGCAGGCATTTTGGGAGGATTTATGCCCTGAGAAAGACTTCAGTCCATTGTGAAGGCACAGAGGATCTCAGGTAGCACAGAATAAGAGCCCAAATCCAGTCCCAGTTTATCTGGGATGACAGCAATGATCCCTAAGATGGGACAGCACTTGGCTATTTGCATAACATGTCACTAAAATGTTTTCATAAATATAGGGTTCACTGAGCACTGACTTTGTGCCAGGCCTGTGCTGAGTACTTCCCGTGGGTTGTCTGGTTTAAGCCTCACATCAAGGACCCCCATTTCACAGATGGGGACTTCAAGGAGGGGGTGGATGGGGTGGAGAGGCGTGTTCAGTCTCATACCATTAACAGCAGGCAGATCTAGGCCCAACCCATGTGCTTGAATTCACATTCAGAAAAGGCAGCAGGCTACAAGGAAAGCTGGTTTTGAATCTCACAGGCCAGACAAGTTATGGTGTTCTTATCTATAAAATGGGGATAATATGGATAAATTGTCAAAAGTAATAAATAAGATATATAAGACTTGGCACATGGCAAGTAGTCAATCAAAGTTCTCTTTTGCCCCTTCCCCCTTCTACTGTGCAGGGGCCCCTGGCACTCATGTTCCGTCAAGCTCTGCTCTGGCCTGAACGGTTCTGGAACATTCTCTGGGACCTACCCTGCCGGCTGAGGTAGAGGCAGCCAGAAGGGCCTCGGGCTGCTGCCCCGGCAGTTCCACAAAGCCTCAAAGAGCTGCAAGAGGAGAAACGGCCATCTTCTCACCAAGCTCCTCATTCCACACAAGGGGCCCAGGGCCCAGACAGGCCCATGAGGTGCCCAGAGGCTGGTGCCCAGGAGTCTCCGTCACCAGTTCTGAGCCCTTTCCTCACACTTAGGGTTCTCCTACCACCTTCTTCCTCCAGTTTCTTCCCACTCCCCCGGCTGAGGTGGGGAGGGGGTCTACTCTGCAGACGGGCCCTCCGTACTCTGTAGGTACTGTCTCCGGGGGAAAGCCAGGTCTCCAGCGCAGGAGGCTGGTGGGGACCCACCAGGGTCAGGCTGAGGCCACATGAGGAGGTGCCTCTGCTGGCGAAGGCTGGTTCTCAGAATTCCCTAGGCCTCAGCAGGCTGGGGGGGCTCCCTCATGGGGGTGAGTCACCCTACATGGCCTTGCCCAGTGAAACTCAAAGCTCAGCATTCTGAGAGGTGAGGTATCTGCGTGCGGGCCGGGGTGTCGGACTGAGATGGAGGAAGTGGCTGTTGTGGCTGCCTCCGACCGACTGGCTGGGTCCATTTCCCGCAGAATCTCTGCCATTTCCCCCTGATTCCCAGCTTGTCAAGCCCAGCTCCTTTGTCGAGCAGTGGGATCTACAGAAGGGCCCCAGGGTTTCTTCACTCTCTAGGGTGGTGGTTCTCAACCTTCCTAATGCCATGCATGGCCCTTTGATACAGTTCCTCATGTTGTGGTGACCCCCAACCATAACATTATTTTCGTTGCTACTTCATAACTATAATCTTGCTACTGTTATGAATCGCCATCAGAAATATGTGTTTTCCGATGGTCTTAGGCGACCCCTGTGAAAGGGTCGTTTGACCCCCAAAGGGGCCGCGACCCTAGAGTCTAGGATCACCCTGGCTTATGTGGTGATAAATGAGGATGCGCCCTCTCATCTCCAGGTACAATTAGAAAACCTTCCTCAGTAGATCTTACCTGTGTCTGGGAAGAAGATGCGAAGTCACGCCCAGTTTACAGATGAAACTGAGGCCTGGAGAGGCCCAGTGACTCATCTCATCCCCCAGCTTCCAGGTCTCAAGCTCTTCCCACTTTCTTACACTGCCTTCCTGATGCCAGGCTCTCTCTGGTTGGCCCAGGAACCTTTCCCCTGCCAGCTCATGGAACCCAAGGGGGGGGCAGCAGCCAAGGCGAAAGTTAGAGCTGGCACAGGAAGAATAATGAAAGTCCTTTCTTAATAGAGGCCCAGGGTCTCAGGCCTCCTGCCACTTTCCTGGCAAGGTCCCTGGACCCAGGGGGCCTGACTGGTGGAGGGGAAGTCACCCCCATGGCCCCTCCTTGGCTGGGTGGGCTTCGCTACCCGCAGACACTCAGGAGGGCATCTAGGCCTTACTTGGTGAGTGTCCCCTTGACCCTGCTCTTTACATGCAGAACCCCAGCTGGATTCAGGAGAACGGGGCTTCGAAATGGGCATCACCCCGTGGCTAGGCACTGGTTCAGGCAGACAGCCCTAAGCAGAGCAGAGGAAGGCAGAATGTGTGGTCCAAGGAGACACAGCAGCAGAAGGTCCTGGTGAGGAGGTAAAAGCAGCCACAGAAAGGAGAAGGAGCCGACCCAGGGACTGGGCTCAAGGGACAGCCTGGCTGGTGGCTTTCCCTCCCGTGGGTATGATGCCCACCCCCACCCAGCTAGGGCGGCCCACCTCCCTGCATCGGACCAGGCCGGCTGAGTGGGCGGAGTGCCTCTCCAGTGGAGAGCTGACCTGCGCCAGCACAGCAGGCAGCGTGTGCCCATGCTCACTTCCTCAGCCACTCCCTGCAGTCCTTCCTCCCCAAACCCGGGAGGGAAACATGCTCACTCCGCAGGCCAGGAAACCGCAGGAGGCCACTAGAGCCTCTAACCTGAACCTCGTGTGGCCTCTGGCTCCAGGGAGAAAAGCAAGGTGACAGCAAGATCCCCTGGGCTGGGACAGAGGCTTGTTGCCCAGCCCCAGAGGGAGGTGCTCCACCACTTAGAGGATCACACCTTCCATGGGCACTCGTTTGTCTATTCTTGTCTGGGGAGATGAGAGGAAATCCCAAGGAAGAGGGACTAAGGAAGAGGGACTTCTGGGTACCACATTTGTAAAGTAACAGGACCGCACTACAATGCTGAGGCCTAGGTTCTGTCCCTGCTCTGACACCAGCCAGCTGAGCCACAAAAAAAACTTCTCTTGGAGGCTCGACTGTAAATTGTGGGGATTAAAATGGATGGTTTCTATGTTTCTAACAACTCCACATGTCCTGTAAAATGACTAGAGAAGTCTCCAGCCTCATCCCATGTTGGTGATTAAGAGCATGGATTCGAGCTGACTACTTTAGCTCAAATATAAACTCTATAATGGCTGAGTTGAACTTGGGCAAGCAAGTCCATCTGTCCATACCAGTTTATTGATCCAGGGACAATGAGTTTATCTACCTCAGAGGGTGGCTATAAGAATTCATTAAATTAACACATGAAAGGTGGCCAGAGAAGGACCCGGCCCGAGGCACTCTCTGTGTATTAGCTGATTAGCACTGGCATTCTTGTCTGTCTGTCCCTGTCAAAAATCGGCAGGTCAGAGAATTAACTCCCATCAGGATGTACACATCCGCTTTCCCAAGTTCTTTCCCTCTGTGAGCATCCTTCCCACAGTCTGCCCTTAGAGCATTGGTTAGGGTCCAATTCTGGGGTCCGTCTCAGGTAGGGAGGCTCCTGAGAGGCCCCGTCTCAGTATACAGGGCAGGAGACAGGACCAAAGGCTGGTCCCCACCTGGGAGCCTCTTTCCTATCTTTCAAGGCAAGGCCTCAGGAAGCTGAGGATCTTTTGACTCCTACCTGACCGGTTTGGAGCTTTTAAAGGAAGAAGCTGAATCAGCACCATTTACCCCAGTAGTAACCGGCAATCTCAGCTCTCCTTGGGGACCCAGCCCTGGCAGACCTACCGCCACTCTCTGTACACTTGACGGAGAACTTGGTTGGTTACAGATGGATGGACGGCAGCTAGTTCTGCTGCTTTCAGACCCTAACTTGAGATGGGGGCCCTCAGGTTGGGTCTCCTTTACAGCTAAAAGCTCACAAAAAGAGTGACCTTCAGGAGGCCTCAGGAGACCAGCACAAGACAGACACACACAGCTGACAGAAGGTGGACCCCACCCACAGCTCCACTTCCTTTGGAGAAGGGAGCACGTTGTGATTGAGAAGCATCTCAAAGGCAGAGACCTCTTAGTCACTTCTGTCTACTTCTGAGTCCAGACAGTGCCTCATACACTGTAGATACCTTATACATGTCTGATGAATAGAATAGGATACTTCTCTCCCAGACCTCTCTTCTGGGGCACCTCTCACATCACTTATGGAGTGTGCTAGGAACAAAAGCCTCAAACACGAGTAAGATACGACCAGCTCCCTCCTCCCAGGGCCCAGGTGGAAGTGAGGTATGACTGGGAGACTCTCCACTGTTCTCCATGTGCACCTTGGAATCAGTTCAGAGAAAGGCCGGGCTCTGGGTCCCGAGGCTCCTAGATGGTGAACAGAGGGAAGGAAGGCCTTGCTCTGAGGTGGGGCAGAGAAAGAGGCAAAGAGCTGTCAAGAGAAGGGGCTGCCTCCTGGGTCCCTATCCTCCTTGCACATTACAGAGAGGAGCCCTGGCCGGTTTGGCTCAGAGGTTAGAGTATTGGCCTGTGGTCCGGAGAGACACGGGTTGGGTTCCTGCTAAGGGCGCATACCTCGGTTGCAGTTTGTCCCTGGCCCTGGTTGGGTTGTGCGGGTAGCAACCACTCGATGTGTCCCTTTCACGTTGATGTCCCCCCCCCCCCCCCCAACTCTATCTGAACAAAAAATGAAAAAAAAAAAATGTCCTCAGGTGAGGATAAAAAATATTAAAAAAAAAAAACCCCAAACAAAAAAACAATGAAACATTACAGAGAGGAGGCAATGTTTGGTCCCTCAGCCTCATGACAGCCGTGAGTCCTCAATATCCAACCTCTAGGGGCTGTTGTCACTGTCCCCCCAGCACCACAACCTCACACATCACAGCTGAACTGCCCACCTGCCCTCCCTGTCTGGGTTCATCGCACTTCTGTTCTCCCAGGCAGGAATCCTGGAGTGATCATTGATCCTGTGGGTCAGGACTTGTAGCTTCATTCTGTACCTGGTCTCACCCAACTGCGCCCTCCTTCCCCACCTCACTGTTCCCTCCTAGTTCCCCTCATCTGCTATGCAGCAGCCTTGGTGTGGTTTTCCCTGCACCAAACACTCTTCCCCTTGACCACCAGGTTCATCTCACCACTTTTAGCATGTCACTCCTCTGCTCAAAAGCCCTCTTTGATTAGGGGATAAAATCCAGCTCGGACATTTGGTGATAGTTACAATCAACTTTCGTCTGGCCTTGCTGTTCCGTGCCTCGACGTCCCCGCCACATGTAAAATGCCAGCTGTACCCTTTCCTTCAGGAGGGGTGGTGGGGCAGCCCCTTCGCTGCCGCTTCGGCCCTCTCGGCTCCCTGACCGCTGGACCTGCGCGGCCTCCACGGCAGCTCACGTGCACAGGTCTCAGGGCCCCTCCGACCCCGCCGCCACCCCCAGCTCCTGCGGGAGGGCCTTCCACCCGGCATTAGAAGGGGCCAGGAGAGGAACTGGCCCCATCCGCCCACTTGGAGAGGAAACCGAGGCGCGGAGACGGACGGTGACTCGCC